GACGAGAATGTACATGTAATAGTCGGAAATAGTCCAGGAACGAAGTTCAACCAATGTAAAAAACAACTAGTTAAAATAGCTGATCGTAGCAATGACTTATAATTTGTGATAAATTTATTTGGGCATTAATTTCAATACCAAATGTTTTGGGACTTAATTTCGTTGTGACAAGAGAACACTTTATTTGTTGACAAGCTTTTTGGGATATTTAAATATTTATTGATTTGGAATTTATACATATTTTTAGTAATTGGGGAAACTTGTTTTTTTTGGCTGAATGGAAATATAATTTATTATTAAATTTATATTTATATTTTTGGGACATTTTAGAAACTAAAAGGTTTGCTTATAACTTATCACCACACTTCTGCTTAGGACTGAGATATAACCTGTGTTTTCCCTAGGGGCTAACTACCCGTTTCTGAAAACTATGTTTTAAAAAAAAAAAAAAAAAACAGGAAAAAAATAAAAAAAAATTGGTTTGCTTCCAGTTTATTTTCTTTTCAAAATATTACTTGGTCCTTTTGGGAAATTAAACTTTATTTTGCTAATCTTTCCCCCAGTCCGAGCGTTTTGTAGTGGTATTAATGTTTGATGTTGTTTCCTTCTTTTCTTCTGCTAAGATCCACTGAACACAAAAACAAGTTGATTATTTTTTTTTTTATTTTCGTAAAAACTCAAGCTTTTTCTTCCCTGTATTTTCAACTTCAAATCACAATGCTGTACTCAACTAGCGGCATTAATGAGCCAAACATAATGTTTAAAAATTAACAAAAAAAAAAAAAAAAAAAAAAAATTAAATGTCGTTGGTCAGTTTTAAACTGTATTTTATCATTATCGTCTTTGATTAGTAACGCCAACCTACAGGTGGTCGCAAATCAGTAGGATGAAGTGTAAAAGCTAAAACAAGGTCAAGTTTTTGGAACGCTGGACTTTCATTTTCCTGGCAGTAGTAGTCCTTTTGGGTAGTAGTACTACAACTTGTTTTTCGGTCGCCTTTAACTATCTTATTTTTTTTTTTTTTTTTGTCAGTAAAAACTCTGTGTCGAATGAATTTTAAGCAACCTTTGTTTTTTCGGGATCCATCCCTGTTAGGGTAAGGCTGAGGTGTTTATTTACCCAAAACAACAAATTACACCCCTCTCAGGAGAAAGTCTATGGGTTCCTAGGACCTGTTTCCACGCTACACTTTCCACAAAACAGTGAAACGTCAAAAAACAAAAGTATCTATGTTTAAGTAAAGCAATGAATGATCGGCTTCAGCGGAATGAGTTTTCTTCTTCTTCTTCTGATTTTCTCTTTCTTCTTTCTTCTGTCTTTTCCTCTTCTTCCTCCTCATTTTCTTCTTTTCTTCTTCCTTCTATTGAAACAAGGTTGGACTCAACTGTCTAAACTTAAAACTTAACAACCCTTAACCAATCATTCTTTTCGATGAAGAAGCATAAACAACCCTTTTGTACTTTTATAGTTACAAAATACAACAACTTTCAAAATTGTAGTTTTTTTTTTTTAACTTTTACCCTAGCTTCTAAATTAAAATGTCTAAAAAAAAAACTGAAACTGTATTTCCGCCGGTCAGAAAACCAACAACTTATAATTTTTATATTTCCACAGTTTTCTTCCGTAGATTTTATATTCTGGCTGAAAACTTCAACACTGTCGAAATCGACGGACAATTTTATAGTAATATAAAATTTAAACTGAAACAAAAACTCGAACAAACGTTAACCTCTTAAACCTCCGAAAACCTTTTCCGGGAAGATTTCTTCTTTCTTTCTATGTTAATTTCCTCTCTATCTAAATATCCTTTTCCAACGCAAATGTTCCACTGTTAAGGGGTTAAGGGGGGGCTTAAGCTAGCCTACAATTACAGTTTGATATAATGTTTTGACATAGATTGAAAGCTAATTTTCTGCCTCAATCACAAGTTACGCGAGGAAAAAGTTTCAAGCAGTAATCAATAGAGAAGAGGTTGTAAACGTATAGCTAAATGTGAGGGAAATGGTTATGAAGGCGCCCCACGGCAAATTTCATTTCAATAGGAGCGAAACAAAGCTGGCAAAGACTTTATGTTTGGAAGGTCACTGACCATGCACAATCTTTTGTTGTGCGCTCGAAATACACTGGGATGCATGAATTGAACGTAAAAAAACACAAACGGCCCAAAACGTTTGGTCTCTGTCTGCTTCTTCTTTTCTTCTAATCGGGTGGGGGGGGGGGGGAAATCTCTTTCTTATCTTATTTCATATTGGTTATTTTGGTCCGCATCAACACAAGTGTCAAAACAACCTGATTGTATTTTTTTGTAATTGGTCAGGTTTTGAGTGATCACGTTACGGGGTCAAAAGGCCAAACAAATGAGAACAAAAACGATATAAAACAAAGAAACTTATCTTTGTCCAGGGCTTCAATAATTTTCGGTGCTCTATTAACTATACTAGTGTAAAATAAGCGTCAAGTGGAGAAGCCGATTAAAATTTAACCTGAATGAACCACTGACTGTACAGTGAATTGCATGTGTTAAAGGCCAGCTAATCCACCTAAAAAACCCTTCAACAACTTAATTGATTCTATTTACATATAAAAATAGAATAGCTTCCACAGCATAGAGCCAACCAGCCGTGGTTATGCTATTTTAACGCCCTTCATAATTGACGAATGCTCAAATGTTCTTTAATTTTTCCAACAAAGCGGGAGTGGTATGTTTACAAGACCGCTTCGAATATTTTTGTTTTTTATGAATTATGGGTGTGATGGGTGTGTCATGTCAATACTACAAAATAGCACGCCCAGTCAAACATGATATAACGCACGTGCGCTACTACGGACAGATACAGACAGTCTACTCTGTGGCTTTTAACTTTGATCAGATCGTAGGAAGGCTCCTGTTCTGTCCAAGCACAACGCTAACACTAAACCTTTGCTCTCTTGGGTAAGAATTGTAAGAAATGGTAATTGGTCAAGCCGGGATTTTAGGACAACAATTTTAAAATGTTTACTTTTGACATTTCCGACCGCCAGTCTCGCCAAACTGTTAATCTGTTTCCTGAAATGTCTACATGAATTGACATTTTCTCACTTGGTCATGATCCTTTTTCGTGACCGCTCAGGTCCATTTTGATACATAATCTAAGGCTTCATATTGCCCTTTCATTTCTATCCGAAACCGCGGTATGAAATACGAGCATCCGTCCAAGATTATGCGTTAGGAATGTCTAGTTTTCAAACGTTTTAAGCGCGTCATTGAAGATCAAGGTTGCTGCTTGGATAATGGTAATGTGAACACTGTTTCTTGGATTGAAGTTATCTACGCAAAATGGCTAATACAACACAACGAAACGATTGTAAGCGTACGTTGTTTATTGACTGGTTTCGTTCGTGTCCCTTTGAGTGATGTTTTGTCGGCCTATGGACGATTTTAAATGCAAATGCTTCAAGGTACGTGTACCGTGATTTTACACGCTTAATACCAGTGTTGTACCATTGAGCTATGTTTCGTCAGACGACAATCGACACAGGTTTCTGTCAGAGTAAAGAAAGGTTTGTTTATAACACCCTTATAACAGAAACTTGATTGATCGCATATCCATCATACTGCGCTCACATGCATGAGTGAGTACAGATATCATTAAATTCCCTGTGGTCGATTACAGCGAGGAATTAAATAATGTTAATTAAAATTAAACAAGGTACGAATACTTCAATGATTAATTTGAGAAGCTATATAATAAGACCGTTTTGTCCAATGGATGAAAAGAATTCAATTTAAATTGTTTATGTTATTCTATCTCTGAAATTTCTTTTATTTCTATGGTGCTTCCAGTATTTTGGTCGTAAAATTATTCCTAAACAGGACACGGAACCGATTAATTCCGTGATAACCCAGACATCAAGGATATAAAGAGGTTTGAATGATGAAGGAGTGTCGTTTTGGCTGATTAAAAGTGGGGACCTTAGTGAGTCTTTTGTGGTCTACACAGACAGACCCAGTGTCCGAACCTGTTACAGAACAGACTGACTGTACTGGTGCTTAATCCTTTTGGTAAAAGTTTGAACAAATATATCAGTATTCAATGCTTATGATTTTTTCCCACGTCTTGCAACCCAGGAGGAGTAATCTATAAGACAGTTATTTGGCAATTCCATCAAATTAAGAATAACTAAGGCACAAGTATTCTGCAGTCCTCGTATAACTTGATGACCTGCAAGTACAGTAAAATTTCCCTGTAAAGGTTTTAGACAATAAATAGAAAACAACAAATTAATTTGAAAAGTGCTAAACGTATGTTTAGCACAGTAAGATAGCTCGTATACTACGTTTTGTCAGACTCTGTATCCGCCTAACACAAAGTTCTTTTGTGGTATTTCCGTTTGTGTTGACTGAATAGGAGTCACGATCCTGTTTTCTGGATGGGAACGAGTCCTTAATGCACAACCTTTTCAATATGGGAACTGATGAGTTTTTACTTTCAGGTTCACTCGGTCTTTAGCAAATCAAACTCCTTTCCATATTAAAGGTTGTGCACCGAGGACTCGATTTTTGAAACAGAGGCGAAAGGCAACTCGGAAATGGCGGCAATTTTCTGGATAGGTGCTGTGAAATTAATCATGGGTTTAAAATATTACCATTTTAGAGGGATTCTTTAAACTCAACATTTACATGTTGTATGTTTTTTTTTTTTAAGGTAATATGTTGTTGAAAATAGTTTTAAAGAAACTTCTATTCCTTCAGAACTGTCGAATAAAACGCTGTGTTGTGTGTTCATCTCAAAGATAATCTATTTTAACCAGGCTTTTGGCATTATGAACCAATCAAGAGAAAAGTGTAAATAAATACGTTTGGCTTTCGTGACACACGTCTCTGAAATGAAAGAAAAATCGTGTCCCGAGTCACGATTTGAACGGATCCGATTTGAATCTCCTGCGTCTCCCCAAGTATACTAGTCGGGCATGATCATAACCACTATCTACACCACCGAGGCAACCACGCTGGATACGTGGCCCACTTTAACGATGTAGTTATCATGCCCGACTAGTATCCGGGAGACGCAGGTTCGAATCCTGCTCGGGACTACGAATTTTGCTTTCATTTCAGCCGGAAGTGCCGAGTCGAAAGCCAAAAATATTTATTTACACCTTTCTCTTTATTTGTAACGCTTTCTTTGGTTTCGAACATTTCCTTTCAGTTGGCATTATGACCTACGAAGTAATGAAAGTCTGTACTGTCAATCGCTGATTTCAGTCTTATAAATGTTTTGCTGTTGTTTGTTTTGTCATTCGGCCAGTACTCAGTTACATTATCTGATCAGTGCATCCTGCAGGCTTTGCTATAAACTATAATATGGGTATTAGTCGACAATGTCATGTGACATTGATAACATACATCTACAGTAAGGATATCAGTCTCGCATGATCGAGCTGGAGATTAGATTATTTTAGTCGCATTTAATTGTCACACATCTTTCATGAGAGAATGCAATGATCCAAGGCACTGTCATTTTATAGTTATTCAATAGAAATTTAGTAGAGCTCATATTTTGAAGATATTCGCCCAAAATTTTCCATCAAAACCAAAAAACAGCACATAACAATCACTCAAAACCGAAAACAACACATACTTTCTGTAAAATGGCAGTCAGCAAAAAATGTTATAGCCCGAGGAGTTAAATCGACCTTTCGAGGCTCAATTCTTCCCTCGTTCGGGAGAAGTCTGAGATTCGACCCGAAAACTTCCATACTGATGTACAGACGTACTTTACAGAGCTCTGTACTGACACATTTAAGGGACACTGTCCTGATTTTAGCATGATTTTGGGGAAGCTCAGAAACATATCTAGATCATAGGAAGTTGAGCAATAATGGTTTTAATTCTGTAGAATAGCACTCGACCAAATGACAGGAACCCATTAGGAAGTGAGGATGACAAACGACAGCGAGGATGGAAATGGATTGCAATATGGATTTTTGAAAAAACGTTTAGGATGTCAGTTTTTCAAAGTTTCAAATTTGGCTCGGAAATCTTTGAAATTTTGCAAAAATTTTGTTGCAGTATAGAATTTCTTGAATAAATTGCTTTTTCATCATTTAGTTAGAGTTTATCAAGTTCTTATTTCATAGATTTAGGGACCATTTCATGCATTTATAACAGTTTTGAGCAAATATGGCGGGACAGTGTCCCTTTTAAACATGAAATGAATGAAATTGTTCTTGC